TCACCCCCAGCACCTCGTCCCCGACATCGCCACTGAGTTCTACAAGTTCGGCCTGGAAGGTGGGGGGGGACGTGTCCAAATGTCCCCATGTCCCCGTGTCCCCACATCCCCGTGTCCCCCTGTCCCCGTGTCCAAAAGTCCCCATGTCCCCACATCCCCTTGTCCCCATGTCCCTGTGTCCCCACATCCCCCATCCCTGTGTCCTCATGTCCATGTCCCCACATCCCCTTGTCCCTCTGTCCCCACGGATCCTTTCTTCTCTACATCCCTCATTGTCCCCAAGACTTTCATGTCCCCCCCAGGGACTCCCCATGTCCCCCAGGACCTGCCATGTCCCCATGGTTCCTGTGTCCTCCAAGGTCTCACCATGTCCCCATGTGTCCCCATGACTTCCATGTCCCCCAGGGTGTCCTTGTGTCCCCAAGGTCTCCCCATGTTCCCCCAAGGGCCACCTGTGTCCCCACGATTCCTTTATTCTCCAGGGTGTCCCCATGTCCCCATCACCATCATGTCCCCCCAGGGTCTCCCCATGTCCCCGTGTGTCCCCATGACTTCCATGTCCCCCAGGGTGTCCTTGTGTCCCCAAGGACTCCCCATGTCCCCATGTCCCCATGGATCCTCTATTCTCCAGGGTCTCCTCATGTCTCTGTGACTTCCATGTCCCTCCAGGGCCCCCCATGTCCCCCAGGATCTGCCATGTCCCCATGAGCTTCATGTCCCCTCAGAGGTTCCCTGTGTCCCCATGTCCCCAGGGTTCTTTTCTCCTTCAAGGTCTCCCTGTGACTTCCATGTCCCCCAGGGTCTCCTTGTGTCCCCAAGGACTCCCCATGTCCCCATAGGTCCTTCGTTCTCCAGTATCTCTCCGTGTCCCCAGGGCTCTCCCCATGTTCCCCAACATCCTCCATGTCCCCAGGGTGTCCCTTGTCCCCACCATCTCCCCAAGGACTCTGGTGTCCCCCAGGGCTCCCCCCATGTCCTCCATGGTGCTCCATCTCCCCAGGGTGTCCCTTGTCACCACCACGTCCCCAAGGACCCCGGTGTCTCCAAGGTCTCCCCATGGTGCTTCTCACGTTCCCTGAGGTCCTTCATGTCCCCAGAGGTCCCCTGGTCACCCCTTTCCTGTCCCCACAGGCATCTCCTCCATCCTCTTCGCCTCCCGCCTGGGCTGCCTGGAGCAGGAGGTGCCGGGGGACACGGTGACCTTCATCCGCTCCATCAACACCATGTTCGTCATGACGCTGCTGACCATGGCCATGCCCAGGCTCCTCCACCGCCTCTTCCCCAAGCCCTGGCAGACCTTCTGCGAGGCCTGGGACTACATGTTCGCCTTCGGTGAGCAGGGGGACACCCAGGGGACAGCCAGGAGACACCCAGGAGGACACCCAAGGGGACACGCAGGGGGACACCCAGGAGGACACTCAGGGGACACTCAGGGGACACGCATGGGGACACCCAGGGGACACCCAGGGGACACCCATGGGACACCCAGGGGACACCCATGGGGACACCCGGGAGACACCCAGGAGGACACCCAAGGGGACAATCAGGAGGATACCCATGGGGACACCCAGGAGACACCCAAGGGGACACCCAGGGGGACACCCAGGGGGACACCCATGGGACACCCGGGGGACACCCAAGGGGACACCCATGGGACACCCATGGGACACCCAGGAGGACACCCAAGGGGACACGCAGGAGGATACCCATGGGGACACCCAGGAGACACCCAAGGGGACACCCAGGGGGACACCCAGGGGGACACCCATGGGACACCCGGGGGACACCCAAGGGGACACCCATGGGACACCCATGGGACACCCAGGAGGACACCCAAGGGGACAATCAGGAGGATACCCATGGGGACACCCAGGAGACACCCAAGGGGACACCCAGGGGGACACCCAGGGGGACACCCATGGGACACCCGGGGGACACCCAAGGGGACACCCATGGGACACCCATGGGACACCCAGGAGGACACCCAAGGGGGGGGACGGGTCACATCCCTCGGTCAGGGTGACACTGATGAGCTCCGTCCTCCTCCAGCCAAAGGTCACATCGACCGGCGCGTGGCCGAGGTGGCCGAGCGGGGGGAGCCGGCGGAGAAGACGTGTCTGACCGACCACCTGGCCTGGGAGAAGGTCCCCATGAAGGTCATCTACGGCAACGTCACCGAGCTGCTGCTGGCCGGGGTGGACACGGTGAGGAGGGGAGGTGGGGTGGTGTCCCCGTCCGCATCTTCATCTCCATCCTGTCCCCATCTCTGTCCCCATCCCTGTGCCGTCCCCATCTTCATCCTCATCTCCATCCTTGTCCCCTGTCTTCATCCCTGCCACCATTCCCAGCCTCATCTTCATCCCTGTCCCCATCTCCATTGTCATCTTCATCCCTGTCTTTGTCCCCATCCCTGTCCCCATCCTTGTCCCCATCTCCATCTTCACCCTTGTCCCCATTCCCATCCCTGCCACCATCCCCATCTTCTTCATCTTCACCCTTGT